TTCTAATTAGTATACAATCACTTATAATACAGAAAAAATCGCTCCCAATTCGGAGCTAATGCTGGGAGTGTAGAGCTTTAAGGGGAAGAAAATTTCTCACAAAAAGGAGGAGCGCCCGGCGAAGCCGGGCGACACCATAAGAAGGAGGGAAGCCCGGCGTTAGCCGGGCGGCCCGACTGGTAATTCACTAAGTGTGTCTGTTGGTTTGTCGGTGTGTGTGTCCGGAAATCCACAACTCCTGTCCCCGTGGACCTAGGGCGCTCAAACATGGTAGGAGTCTGGAAAGGGGCATGGTGGGAACTCTTATGGTAGGTGGCAGGACCGGACTTTATTCACTGAGGGCGGGGCGTGCGCGATAGAAGTTTTGGGCCGCAAATTCATAACTTCTGTTTACGTGGACCTAGTACGTTCAAATTTGGTAGGAGTAGAGAAGACAGGATGGTAACACTTATAATGTTCAGCATGAGTTTCTGCCAAATTTCGCAACCACATCTTGAGTGCCAGGAGTAGATTGGTGTGTGTGCACCTTTCGTTCTGTGGAGGCAATGGAAAACTTGCTCGTGTTACATAAGCATTCAGCATTTTCAGCATTACATAAGCATTTCCTAAATGCAAAGGAGGACTTAAATAGTCAATATGATGCATAAAAGGGTTCTGTAAGCGACATTTTTGTTAGGGCATTTCTTATGAGAAAGCGAAACAAGCGAATGCATCAGGGACGCTGTTATCCGTGTCCCTCCTACCAGTTTAACGTCTTCCCAAATGCGCTATCGTTTCACGTATTTCACGTATGAGTAAAGCCCGGTTCGTCGTTTAAGCGAATCAGTGGTGTTAAACCTGGAGAAAGAATTCCTGTAACTTTGTTTTTAGAATCGCTTCGCAGATCAGCGCTTAGAAGCACTTACGTCGGCATACGTCTCATCTTGAATGTCCACTGCGACCTAGCATTCTTCCCTTGTAAGGGCAAAAAAGCTCAAAGCAGAGAGTATAAGCCAGAGTGAGCTAATCAGCTGACAACTACTGATAGGTAACACCCGGAATAAGGCACTCACAATTAGATGAACAGGCTAAAAGGAGACGAATGTCAGGTGCTGTGGATGAAGCAATAAGACCAAAGCATAGTTATCTTTCCAAACTGAGCATGCTTGATCCCTTAGCTTATAAAGGCCGTTTTCATTTTCAGAGCCTCTTAAAATCAAAGGCACAGTCCACGATAATTCTCTCCTTACGGACGTTTTGGGTTTCTGAAAAGCAGAAGTTATCGGTTGAGAATAGTGCATCGGTGGTGGAGGAAAAAAGAAAATTCGAAGATTTTGCGAAAAATAAGGCCTCTCATAAGTAGTGAAAATAGTGGTTGCACGATAAACCATGACAGAAATGACATGGAAGGAGAATTTGGACGAGATTGCAGTTGTTGCAATTGCATAAACAGATGACTACATAAAGCCAGAACTGTATGAAACTGCCGTCCTTTGTCACAATGGGCCATGACAGGTTGTTTGAACGTCCTACATGGGTTTCCTCATGATTGATGCAGCTTCTACAGTGCCGGTGGAACTCGTTCGAGGATGCACATTGTGCAATCTTTGAGCCTTCATAACTCCCTATCTAGACCGTTTTAACAGCGCCGCCGAAATTTATTTTGGGGGGACATCTCATAAGCCATTTTATCGGAGCTGCACATTTGAGCTAAAGATTTTCCCGATCAAACTGACGTAATGGACAACGGAACTTAACTCGAATACACGGTCAACTAGAAGACAACCACCAAACTAGCTCAGGCTGCACGTGTTTCAGTCGATGTGACCTTTACGAGTTGAGTCGGAAAGTAGAAACGACGTTTATTGTGCGTTTATTGTGTTTATTGCCGTCTTTATTGAATCAGAGTTCGAATGCTAAACCAAAGAACTGTAGAATCTTGGGCACTGATGTTAGCAATCACTTTACCAAAAGCTTGGGAGAAAACTTAAACTTTCCTTCTCTATGATATCCCTCTATTCATGATATTGGTTGTTGCTTTGTAAGCATATTAGTATGTGCACCAATACATCTAAACGTAAAATCAGGAACTACTATAAGGAAACATAGTCACTCAATCAAACAGAATAGAAAAAAGAACAAACTGCTGTTAACACTACTAAATTCCGATGACCAACAATTTCGAATCATACATAAGCATTACAGACAGAAACAACTTCCATCACCCTTTTCCCTCCCCTCGCCGCAAAATGGAAACAGGCATTGCCTGTGAGAAAAGTACTGTCGTAAATTCTTTATTATCGAAACATGGCATGTATAAAAAACATTTAACGCACCCGATCGAAAAATGCAATGTGCGCAGTGACTGAAAAGAGTGAACGGTGATAAACGACAATGACAGATTGCTACAACTGGAAGCTCGAAGAAAAACAACAGACCATGAGAAACCGATAATTCACATTCTTTCTACACATATTTGAATTAGAAACTGAAATATTTTNGATTTTTGCGTATACAGAAGAATGAGGTGGTGGGCCACAGATGTTATTTTAGTTCTCTCCGATCGAGTACTCAAGAAAAAATCAAGATGAACTAGCTCTGCAGGAAAAGAAAAGCGTTTGCTATTATCGGTAATTTCAGCAATTATTGCTAAAACACAGCTTATTATAAATCCTTTACATGCTGCTGTCCCATTTATGAACAATTCATGTACCTCAATTCCTGGCTAAAAATATATTAGTATTATAAGCCTTCAGAATTCTTCCACCAACTTTCCTGTGTGAAATTCGCATCAAAGGTGCTCTCAAAAGTGTCGCCGGAGAGAGGTCGGCTCGCCGAACCCTTCAAAAATAATTTTTAGGCAGTATAGAAAGAATGTAACAAAATAAAATGGGAGTCTCTCAATCCACCCTACTTCCTGATCTTCGTATTTGAATAATGTTTCGAAATAAGATCTAATAACTATTGAACTCGGAATGAGCGTCGGTACTTTACATCATTAACTCTGTGAATAAGCAGCTTACATGAGCTTCTTATTCACAACAATTATCACTTTTACTTTACAATTTACAATTTAATTCACAATAGCTCTCTACAAAAGCATTATCACACCGTACTAATAGAAAGTTACCTAGCTTTTTCTATTCAGGTCGCTTCACTTCTGAATCTGCTTTTTTATTTGTTCATCGGTGGTCTTTCTTCGATTCAAAGGTCATAGACCGAGCCTGATTTATATGATTTTCCTTGTTTGATTATTTGTAATGAATCTTTGGCTCTCATAGGTGGCATTGGGGCCGCTGTCGGGTGGTAAAACAACCTACAGGGTGTAACAAGGGCTGAAGCGTTGTTTCCATTACATTCCTCACTAAAAAAGTGTCGTGTTCTGTTTCTCTTGAGGAGGTAGCACCATCCACAATGAAGCCTACAGGTTGAATGTACAGAGAGCTAATCGTTCGGGCTGACAATCCTGATGTTCTACTCTTTACATCCCACTATCAAAGAAGAAGAGTCACTTTTAAACCGACCCATGGCGACCGTGAAAGACAATTCACGGCACTTTTCGTTTGCTGTTGCCAGCTCTTTACAGAATTGCATACGACTGAAATCTCATCTGAATATTCTTCCACACTAACTCCGCCGTCATAATCTCGTACAAACCAACCTTACTAATTTTAAGATTCCCTATAATTTGCGAAGCCTGCAGAATTTCGGGTTTCTCTGGCACCCATGCTCTATGTACTTGGCATCCACGTTTTCGTTGTTCACTTGAAAAGATATCTCAAGTATCTCAAATTTTCGTGGGCGCGCCTTTGAAGTTTGGGGAGAAGGGGGGGGGGCAGTACATGTCTCAAAAAACCGTTTTGTAAAGTTAGGGAACAGATCCGACATGAACTTCATTCATCGTATGCATATGATCAACAATTCTTTGATAAAAACTAGTCCGAGTGCGTCTCCAGGTGAACGGAGAAATCGTGAGATCATCTTCGACCACACTCCAACCCATACTCCTCACATGCTAAGTGCTCAGCCGCTAAGACTCACGATTTTTAGCCGATATCAGTAACAACAAAATTTTTCAAGTAGCAACGCATTTGAATTCTTGACGCACAGTAGGTAAGAAGCATAGTAGGTAACTGTGAAAAGGGTAAGGGCATTGAGCAAACTAGGTTGGGTTCAGTGTTTCATACTTGTCGACAACAGTATTCAGTAACTCGGATTCCCAGTAACTTACGCGACATTAGACGTGACCGCACATTCCTCCGATCTTGTTTGTGTCCATAGATATTCTCATAGCTACCGTAATTTCCAGCGCGATGGTAAGAAGGTGCGTCTTCGTATTCGACATAGATTCAGAATCGTAGTGACGCTTTGAATGTGTATGCAATCTATACAATGGCCTGCAGTGGCCAGCCGATATATATGCCTTCGCCTTCAACCTTCCAGTTGCGTCTGGTACCAATAAAGCGCCACGAATGGATAGAGGTTTTATGTGGCTTGTGCGAGTATCGGTCAGCGGACTAGGCGTGCGTGATAGTGTGCCTTTTGCTGCTACATCACCTTCGCTCTTAGGGAAGGTGCAATAAGACCAACTGTAATTCATTTTTTTGCAAATTTCTGTTCACAATCATCCATCAGAGACTTATGCTAAAACCACAACACGTTCCTTCTTGAACCCACGGTTATTGCTAAAATAGTGCGAATTTATATCATCAACCTATAGGCACTCGATTTGCTTCAAAAAAATATGAAGTTTTAAAACTCACAATTTTCATCGGTTCAGTGTGATCGAATAACATAGGCGAATTTTGAATGATAAGAACCGTACCAACAAGATTGACAAACGTGAAAATTATGAGAACCAATCGATCGATAACATTTGCAACATAGGACCAGTCGGAAGAGATCTGTATAGAAAAGGATAACAAAGAACATCTCTGGAGACAGAAGAAATACCCCAGTAGTCACCAAGTAATCTGGTTGTTTGTAACACATACACAAGTGCTCATTTGAAAATTGACACACCTTGTCCTCTTTTTTCATAGCTCTGAAGTGGTCAGCAATGAACGAGACATTGTCGATCATTCTTCGTATCAAGTCGGGGTGCATACCGCGCAGTTGAGCTAGTTGTGATAATCGCATCTAGATTTGAACGGCATTAATCTGAGCCCAGATATTTTCAATTTACTAGTGTGATCTTCACAAGTCCTCATCGCTGAGGGTTTTCATTCATTTCAGGATTCTAGAAGGTAAGTTCGGAGGCTACCCAGCACGACCTAGGGAATACGGACGGAGAGGGATTAAACTAAGGCCTAAAAGTCACAGGTATCTTCCCAGAAGCGTCGTTGAATTCAGGGAACGAATGCCAGTTTCTGCAGTGTTGTGTTGTTTCTGACGATTTATACCGTAGACATCCTTGCGGAATGAGTGATAGTCGATTCGGGGCCGCCTTCACCAAATAGGACCCTTGTCCACTGCGGGATAGCCTCGCTAACTACTTGAAGTCTAGTCAGCTCCACGTCAGACTCTGGCAAGCTACTCGCAGAAACTCGACAGAAATATTAATAAAAATGGCTCTCATTTCCCGTACCTGTGGAAGCCGCCAGTATGTCAGCACTGGCTAGTACCGCTCACTATAGGGCGCTAAAATCTCAGGGTCATAACAGGCTGAGTAAAAGAGAAGGATGAACAAAAGAAGCTGGAAACAATTTTTATAGAATGGCTGCTGATGCTTTTTTACCAGCTCATCACGTTGAACGTCTTTACGTCGGCTCGTGTGACTGCTGATAGGCTATGGCATTTGAACCATAAAAAAAGGTTTAAATGCCTTAGAACCAGACGGGTTCTCGGTTTTGTAAGGAATAGAGCACGGTGCCTGGATAGCGTAAGTACGGGTTCGAGTCGCGTCCGAGGGCCAGGTTTTGTCCATGACTCTACAACCCTGTGAGCTTTATATAGAACTGGCACACTTTCAACTTAACTGCCAGTGATTTCAGTGCCAAGAATGGGCCCAGAAGGACGGCAGCACAGTTACCCTTCGGACCTGAAGGCACACCCTACGATTAAAATGGCTTCTTAGACTCTCCCTAAGGAATACTCAGAGGCGCCTAAGGGTAACAGAAAAGACGTTATCGGGTCTAAAAACTCAAGAGCTAGGCCATAATAGGAGTCCTATCACCGGTTCGGTCTTATTTCAAGTCCACCGAATGTTATGTCAGAAGAGTGTCGAGGCGATACAGGTTGTGCTATTTGCATCAGGACAAATACATACACTCTGAGGCAATCAGCTGACCGCCAGGTGATGTTTTACACCTATTCCTGTTATTCTCTGCTATTCTTTTTCCTGCTGCAGTCCCCTACATAATCCTATCTATCCTTCGATCTGCTTTGAGAAGACGAAAAGAGTGGGTCACTCTCTCCTTTCATATAACTGTTTTTTGCTAAGTTATGCTTATGAATTGATAAATTTTGAAGGACATTTTTGCTTACTGTAGTCAGCCATTCGCATCACGACCCACACGTAAGCAATGATACACATTGTTTAGCTCGTGCAAACATCCTCTCTACTTTATTTTTCTTATTCTCGTCCACCCATTTTACGACCTTTTAAAAGTCTTTTATCATTTTGGAAACACCGATTCGCTTGCTTTCTTCGCCTCCATCGCATTACTGTCCACCTTTTCTTCCGTTTTTGTCATTATCCGAATAAGCCAAATTATTGCGAACTATGCCTTTAAAGATTGGAGTTGAATTAGTATAATGAAATTCTGTTCAAGTTCATCATGCCCGCTCACACCATCCATGGTGATTCGCAGTTGCAGCCGGTAGACATCTTTGTAATGGGATAGATCAAATCACACTCGACTGCAAAATTTGCCTGAATTACGTCGCTGTCGCTACGAAGTACTACACGAGAACGAATCATCGTCTCCTCTCCCTATTATCGCTATTTTTCAATGCGTGCAGAAGCGCTATAGTCAGCAAACGGAACCCCGAGACCGTCATCAATTGTTAGAACTCCGCTTCCATTGTGAGCGTGATAGCACTATATAGCGTGATCTGTACTTGCAACAGTGGAAACATAAGAAATTATATGGATGCTCAACCACTCCCACGACCTTAAAAAACTGCGAAGTGCTAGCACGCGACAAATGCGGTCAACTCATGGTCAATACTTCCCACGTATCCAGAAATACTGAACCTTGCTTGCTCAACACAGTTTTCTTCATGTTCGACACTCCTACACATTGCATCGCCGTTTGCCATGGAGACTTCACGCTTGGAGAATCTCTCGTCGCCAAAGAAACGACATCTTCCGTGGACACTACTGCATCACAAGTTGAAGGAGAGTAGAAATTGATCTGTCGTTCGCGAATGACACTTTGGTAAGTTCAGTGGTATCCTCACAGCATTTGTGAACAATGGAGTAGCATTATTTTTCTTCCTCATATCTACATTGGTACTAGTGATAAATATATCTACATTGGTACTAGTGATCTCCCTCCCCTCCACAAATTGTTCCAGAACGCTTCACAATAAACCCCATAAATTGTTGCTTGTTGTGGGAGCCTTACTGTAATTAGTAGAAATGGAAATTTCATTACTGACTTATCTTCAAGTGACTGTGCTATATTTTGTCTGACTAGCACAAATTGCCTGAAATATTGGAAAAACGTTGTAACTATCACTTCAATTCTTATCATTTCCTTTTAATATAATAGCTTGTATGGAGCAAATGAGTAGGTCGCTTTAGTGAAATAAATTTTCAAAGCCGTCGTCCTCGCCAAGCAAAACAATCGTTCGACGATGCCTCTTGTACATTCAAAGAATGTGGTCACCTTATTAATTTCACCTCGCGTTCGTTTCTGCCCATCATCTTGAATGGAAGTAGGAACTGTAAGGAAGTACGGTGATGGGCGACGGGAAGAATCGAGAAGCTGGCCGATTTCTATAAAAAGCGATTTCTCTTACTTGAATTTTTTTTGAAATTAAATTCTAGGGAACGTAGACGTAAGTTCGATAGAAGAAACTATGATACCAGATGTGCTGCTCCCGCGATCACTGACTTCGTCTTCTTCAGCTTTTTTAATACCAATATATTTCGGTAGTGTTTCGATGAAGACGGCTTGCATCCAGTGGGGCATAGGGTGAGCAGAACCATCTCTTGAATAACGATTGTAACACGTAGATTCAACAAAACTGTGTACATACAAAGGATTCGGATTTTGATATGTCATTCACCTTCTGTAGTAATTCAAAGAGAGTACGGACAAAAGAATTGACATGGCGACCAGAAACATTGTGAACAGAAGATATCGACCTGTTATAATACGAAATAAAAGAAGCTATATTTTTACAACGAACTTATCCACTCCTCTTACAAACTTGCATTTCTTCAGCGTCAATGGAAAAGTAAACAAGACTGCCCGAACTAGTGCTACTGATAAATTTTGCTCAAGATTCCCAACAACCATTTACAGGGGTACGCCTCAGAAAAAGCACAGATTCAGGGAATCATTGACATGAACTAAGACAACTCTTTCATCAAAATATGCACATGAATAAACTTTCAAATATTTGCTCTGACAGAAGCCAGAACCCCCTTTCACCTCCACTCTTTCGGAGCGGGGTATGAGTGGTCATTCTCTTCTGTTTTCGACCCGCTATTAGGAAGTTTTGGTCTGTGCTAAAAGCAATCAGGAGGACTCGTCGGTTTTTAGATTAAATCTATGTCCCCAATGAACCACCTAATTCAATTGTTCGTTAGAGAAGATTTCAATTTCCCTGAGTTGCAAAAAGTGCCACCCAACCGCCTACACACCGCAAACAACAATTTTGCGAGGAACAGCATTGTTGTGTTGTTAATTTATTTGGCATATCTCACCCGCCCGCTCAAAAGCAGCGAGTTGCTTGCAAAATTCGCCAACTTAGCTTATCTTTTCCTTGAATGGTCAGCGTGCTAGCGTGCTAGGACATCGAAAATCTGCTGTTTTCTTGTGTTTGTGTAAATTTTATCGATCGTGGCCGGCGGTAGCTTTCTTGCATAGGCCAGAACCCGCGGTCACCACCTTTTCTTCTGGGCGGAACATAGGTGGGGATTTTCTTCTGTGCTCCATTAGCCTATGTATTATTTACGGGTAGCTGTGCATTTATTACTAATAAAAAAGCAAGACTTACCTATCAAAGGAATGACTAGAGAAGTAGGAGGAATCAGTTCAATAAGAACAAGATAAAATACAGTAAGGGAAACCAAAATAGAAATGGAGAACGTCATTTTATGCTCGATAGGAGGAATATAGAATACGAACGTTGTCAAAATAGCTGAAAAGGAGATTCTTTAAAATAGATAATAATTGACTACAAATTGAAAGCAAACTCGATATTGTTCTGTTGTGATCACGCTTCTCAAGAGTTTCTTACTTTGAATATCAAATATTTTCTTATAGACGTCGGCCGATCCTTTCCTTTCTGTGGGCGTTGGGCGTCATATGCATGAGAAAAAGGACTGATAAAAGGATTGAAGTATAGAGTCTTTTAGCGATAACTGATCCGCCTGAGGAATGTGCCCCCGCAATCGACTTCCAGTCAGAATAGTAGTGGTGTATATGTGGCCTACATAACAAAGTGCAGTGGCCAGTCACATACGCAAGTCTTAATAAGTGTACCAGTCAGTGCTTTTATACTCCCAGATGAATCTGGTACCAATTAATCGACTCCGGAGGGATGGAAGGCATGGGTGACAGAGGTGGATAACGGACCGGGATTTGAACCCTTGACCGTGCATGGGATATAGTTCGCTACATGCCACTACACGACCTCCGCCTCCAACCAACTACAAGTATGCCTAACCGGCGTCCTTCGAAAGACACCGCTACAAATTACCAAATTCTGGATAATGGAGGATCTGATTGGTCTAGGCAGCTAGGATTCTGCTACAATTTTCTAACCTCTGAGAAGGGAGGAATTGATGGTCTGGGTTATCGTCGTTTCCGGCAACGATCCCATATCAATATCTCGTAGTCCCACCGTCTGATATGACTCCCTAACTTATCCAATGCCTCTAAATGGTGCGGGGTCAAGCGAGACCACCAAAAAGCGTGGTTTCCTCTTCATCTAACAGCATCAAGAGAAAGAAAAATATGTTATCTGTCTTATAAAGCATCTTTCGCCCTTATTGTGTGTCGCTATAGCGGTAACGTCCGCGCTCACTATTCTGCTGTGAAACATTACTCTGTCATCATCGGAGACTGCAATAAAACCACTGGACCACCCGCACATAGTCAGCAGTCGAATTCGGGACATAAACAGTGGATAATGAGTGTAGTAGCAGAGCCACTTCGGACCACCCCCCCCCCCTCCTTTCTGCTTTCAGTATAAAATAAGCATGCGGAAAAATCGTGTCTCTGGCTCATTCCTGGGACAACGTTAAAGTAAAAGCAGCTTCCGAGCTTCCTCGACTTTCCTTCCGAAGATGACAGCCTCAAAAGCATTTCTAAACCCATCTCATCCGACGTGCCATAAAAAAAAATACCGTGATTTCGCTTGCAATCAGGCTTTATTTACGTCAACAAGAACTCTGATGACTCGTTGCAACCGGCAGCTTTCTGATGCCTAGCTTCTTTTTTAGGCCATAGAGGTTACAAGCAGTGAGGCACTATGCACCTGTGCAAAATCGCCATATATTCGCGGGAATATAATATTCTGAAACCGAATCTCCCACATTGTACCGAATATTCTTAGAAAATCCGAAATATTATTTGTAATAGGCCTCGCCCAGGTACCCTTCCGGTCATTTCTAAAAGTTTGCAAGAGAAAAAATATAAGGGAAGTGTGATCAGATATGTGATAAGATATATACATATACGTTTGGTAAGAAATGAACACCATTACCTATCAGCATGCATGGAATGACCAAGTTTACAGTGTAGAACAGGGTTTTCCTTCGTAAAGCTATATCAAATGTGACATCAATGTAAAAGTCTTGTCCGCAACATCCTGGATATAGTTGTTCATGACGCTGTGACGTTAATGACATGAGATCCCATTCGAGACTTCTAAAAATATAGGAAGTTGATCCATACAAGTATATGTAGCGCGAAATTATAGATGTTGTCCCATTGCGAGGATAATCTTGTACACTACCGAAATGTGAAACATTTCCCCTCATAGAGCACGCTTGCGCGCGATCGTGTGCGGCGAGCGAGAAGAAGCACCCACATATAGATACTGGTAACCGTCACCAAGAGAGAAAGCACAGACGAGCAGACAACCACTGCTAGTCTATAACTTACGAATATTCAGTAGTTCTAATCGATTACGTTCTGAAATTTTCCCAGAAAAAGTCACATCGGTCTTCAGCAATAGTCATTGAGTCTTCATATCTTTCGAAGACTTAGCGCAGAAGACCAAGAACTGAATGTGACTTCGCCCTACCAACTGCCCATCCCCTTTCCCTCCACCTTTATCCCAGAATTGTTAGGACCAATACCTTTTCCCAGCTTTGAATAAGAGAAAAGTTACGATCGCAGGAATTTCACCGAAAGTGAGCTGAAAGAATTGCTGGGTATTTAGGAACTTACTGGTAGAATCCAGATAAATCCATGCCTTTTTCAAGATACTGATATTCTTTACCACTTTCATCTTCTCGATTTATAATTGGCGAATCAGCTGACTGGAATTGGAATATCTTATTTTCATTTGTAATGAAAATGCAAACACACGACATGTATTAGAACCGATAATATGAATCTATTTCTTTAGGGAAAATAATTGGAGGCACAATTCACGACAACTTTGAGCTACCCATTTTCAGTTGAAAAGCGCAAGTATAGATTCGGAATAGTTTATCGATACTGAAGAAAGCGAAAAAATTCGCCGATTTCGAGAAGAATGAGCCTTTCAAAAGTGGAGAAGATATAGGTTGGACGAGATCACCATGAGGAAATTAAGGATGAAGGGGTATTCGGACGAGATTTCGGTTGTTGTAATTGCGCAAGAACTGACTTCATTGAGCCAAAAGTGTACAGAACTTCCTTTCGCTGTCGCTATTGGTCATGGCAAGATTTTTGAAATGCCTACATGGGTTCCCTGGTGATTGTTGCAGCTTCTACAATGTCGGCGCACCTCGTCCGAGGATACCCACAGTACGATCTCTTAGCCATCATGGTGCCCTCTCTGGGCAGTTTTCAGACCTGGTAGCACCAGATATGGTATACGAGGTAGCGTCAAATTCTTATGGTTCTAAATCCTACGAGGAAATCTTACAAACCAATTTGATCGTGAACTGTGTCTTTGAGACAACGAGCTCGAAACTGTGAGGTTATTGATGTCAGGCTTGTAGGGAATGTTCAGGAGAGGATGCAACTGATGAAATTTCTGGTAAAAGAGAAAAGTCAACAAGGATATTCTTCCTTGTCTCGAGCATGCCTGGTGCTTGCTATTTAAACGTGTCCGGATGTTTCGTTTGAAGCTGGTTTCAGTATCAACCAAGTAACCGAGCACTGAGACAAGAACTACGTTGCTTGACTACAGTCATCAACGAGAGGCCATTGCTTATGTTTCTTACATGTACATATTGCTATAAAAACCGTTCATCAAACCCATAAATACTCGACAGTAAGGGTTTTTACTCCCAAAGTGCAGCAGCAGTGGACCCTACTTATTCATAATCTTGATCTTCTATCGTTTTTGCTCAGAACTTGATAAATTTGCGATAGTTTTTCCATATCCTTTGATCGCGTACAACAGATCGGTCAAAGTATGCAGTTCCTTTCGGATCATCTTCGTATCCGTCACATTCACCTATCTATGTGATTTCCTGCAGAGATAGGAGAATTGGCGCATTTTTTCTTTATTGCTAGTAAATTTTCATCAAATCCAGATATCCACCAAACCTACCGGTAGCTGCCGCACATCTAAGAGGAATCCATTGTAGCTCCATCCTCCAAATTTCAAAGAGCATGACTGAGAATCATATGGAAAATACTCGATATTGATTGGACAGAATGATTTGTAGATACTTGGAGGCTTCCATACGATCAGTCCATTGTGATAGACGAGGGCATCGCTCATAATTGTAATATGAGGCTCACCATCGGCACTGAAAAAAAAANAAAAAAAAATCTTAGGGGTAAGCGTGAATTGAAGAATTATTTATCGAAGCCACATAAAGCATTACGTCAAATCGGCTTACAATAAACAACCTTTGTTTAGTGGTCTTTTCAGAGATAATTGCCTCAACTTACGATATGCCGCTCAAACACAGGGCTCGTTTCGCAACGGTTCGCTACCTCGCCCTCTCTCGGTGTAAATCAGGACAATCACAAAATATCTGGGAAAGCTTATCACGATTTCTACTACGTTTGTAAAATCAAAATGCTCTAAGTCATGCACTAATTTGATGAATGCGAGCTAACTAGTCTTTTGTCATGTCAGTGAAGCTGCTGGTGCTATAATTGTACTTTTCTAGTGGACAGCCTAATTTTTTACCATTTTTAACACCATTTTTTACACAGTTGTGAATGACGCATGTTATCGGAAATTATGATGTTATTCGTGCCTCATCAATTTTCCTTGAATAGAGATTGTTTTAGTGCAAGCAGCTGCAGTTTGATCTCTGCACGATGAAAAGTTTCATAAAGTGCTGGCAGAAACCTGAAGCAGGAGTTTGAGTACGAGCCTCACTGACCCCGTGTTGGTTTTTCTTTTTCAGAGGATTTTTAGTCCTAGATCAGGTCAAATTGTACCTTTACTCAATCGCCTGTCTTGTTAATGTATATCACTATATCACGC